ACACATATTGGTTTTGAATAGGTTCGAAGTATGTCTGATCTCGGCCTTACTATGAGCGAATCTGCATGTTTCTCCTTTTGTTTTTGCGGGGCAAGCTGTACCCGGATGAAGAACAGAAGGACAAAGTTTTGTTTTATCTAGGTTAGGAGCAGGACGTAGCTCCTCAAGAGAATGAGCAAAGTTGCAACGTACACCCAGATGACATGAACCTAGACTGAGACGGGGGCATAGACGGGTCTTATGGAATACAGTTTTCCTATTGGCGAGTATAACCCCTTTCATTGGGACACCACCAACAGGAAGAGGTGATGCTGCAGCAGCTGCAGCAGCAGCAGCAGAAACAACAGGTGTTGCTGCTGCTGCTGCTGCTGCTACTTCTTGCTGCACCTCTTGCCAGCCTTGTGTCACCGCCATCTTTTTTTTTTTTTTTTTTTTNTTTTTTTTTTTTTTTTTTTTGTGTTTCTATATATATACAACAACCACTAAAACGAATCAAAAAAAACAGATTAAAGCAGATCAAATGACAAATACTGCCTTTTTTTTAAACAATTAACACAAGCTAATCCCAATTTAGGGACAGAAATAGATGCCGAAATACCCAAGGCGGTGGGTGGGTGCTGCGTGAGAGGATAAACCCAGAAACTGCACTGCTAGAGAAAGAAGAAAGCAGAGCAGTATACAGTGGGGACTTAACCGAAGGCACCTCAAAAGAAAATTGCAAACAAAGCCGAAGAAAACAGAGAAAAAAAAAGGAAAAAAATGCGTACAAACGCCCCGCGTGATGATGATGATGAAGAAACAACAACACCACGACACAGAACGGGAAACACGCACACACACCCAAGAAAAAAGAAAGCAAACAAAATATTTCGGCGAAAAGGGCCTATTTATTGCGATTATATTTCAAAACCCAAGCAAAAAAGGCAAAAAAAAGCCAGACAACAAGAACAACCGATACATATATATATATATATATATATATATATGGGGCAGGCAAACGTGCCCACGAAAAACAACAAAACCCCCTATATGTTTCCGACGTTCAAACAAAGGGAAACACAAAGGACTGGTATTCTATGAAATAATAAAATAATAAATGATATATATATATGCACTTTATATTATTTCATGTTTATTCCATCGAAGTAAAGCGACACAGACTCAAAACAATATATGCACTTGTTTAGGATACCCACAACAGCCCCCATTGCGTATCGAGAGAGAGAGTGGAGTTTGCTTTGTTCATCAACTGGCTGCGGCCCCTGTTCTGTACTAAACCTAACAAAACAAACATGAATATATCCTTTATATTTATTTAATATAATTCTATTTATATTATTTCACCTTTTTTTCATGGTTTAATCCACAATACAAGAGACGACAGCTACGTTATTTCCTATTTTTCCTTGTCTGTGTGGGGGAGAGGAGCGTGCGCAATGGCCGAACCCCATATACAATATATATATAAAATAGAACAGTGCAGCGCAGCACAGCACCTGCCTCAAGCTTCTCCTGCTTTCAATTGCTTTTTATTTTTTTTATTGTCTTTTTTCGGATTAGTTTTTATACAAAAGCAAATACCAGCAACGAAAACAGCATCCCCACCCCCCCTCCCCTGTGCAAGCACTGAACACCTGCCTTCCAGTGCGGCGACTGCACGCGATAGAAAAACAGAATTAGGCACGATAGAATATATGCTATATAAGAAATAAAGATTTATTTCTTTATTTTTTTCATGTCTAGGGCCATATCAGCCTGTCTCTAGCACAGCTGCTCTGCACCGCCTGCGTTTTCTAGCGGCCTAGCTTGTGCATAGTAGTAACATTAGTTTATTCTGTGTAAGACACCAACTGTATAACGAAGACACAATATACCACTCTGAAAGAAAATAAAAGCTCAATAAAAGCAAACCAAACAATACCAAAGCAATCGACACTGTGTTTGTTTGGCTCCATATAATACAGTTTCTTCCCGTGCGGCCGGCGTTGTTTATTGTATAAAGTTTGTTTATGCTTCTCT